AGCAGCCTGCTTGAGGCTGGCGTGGGAAACAGACTAATAATAGTCTGTTTCCGAAACCCTGGTTCGGTGCCTGAGTTTCAGGGCCGGTCGTTCTGATGAACGACCGAAAATGGCCCTTCGTTTCAGGCTAAAAAGGCTGTTGCCATTTTTAGTCTGAAACGACCAGGGATAGGCCCTGGACTTCAGGCTTTCGGGCTGGGCCGACAGGGGGCCTGTAAGCCCTGGATTTCAGGCTTTCGGCCTGAAATTCAGGCTTTTGGCCTGAAGTTCAGGCTTTTGGCCTGAACACCATCGGGCCTGCAAAATGGCCGTCGGGCCTGCAAAATGGCCCGTGTGTGCACGCGCCGCATGTAACACTGCCCGAGTGCCCATACAAAAGACTATGATGTATAAGATTTGATTTGTGAGCAATCTCTAAGTGTTCTCATGTCGTGTTGCTGTGCACCTCGTGTGTGAAGCGTTATGCGACAAAGTGTGGATTGATGGTTGAGCAACAAGCGGTGTGAACTTGTTGGATCAATGCCATTGGTACCGGAGCAAGCTCTCCCTGTCTTCCAAGACGACAAGCTGGAGTACACAGCGAGGTAGACCGACAAGTTGAGGTTAAGGTCGGTGGGTGACAAAAACAGAAAAAAAGGGTGATTGGCGGCAGTAAGAAGTGTTGGCCAGTGGAGAAGAAGCTAGGGTCTACCGAAGGAGAAGGGGCCAAGCAGGGAGATATACCTACCTGCAATTGCATGCAGCAAATTGGAACAAATGTGGAGCACCTTCAACAAAGCGGATTGGAAGTGAAGTGTCTCCTATTCCTAGCGTTGCATGCTTGTGTGTCATGCTTTGGACGCTGGGTGTTGCCAGTCTATTTTTGGGGATTGAGCTGCTGTTGTTATTTTCTATTGATGTCATTAGCTTTTAAAAGCGGACTGGAAGTGAAGTGCCTCCTAACCCTAGCCTTGCATGCTTGTGTGTCATGCTTTGGCTGCTGGGTGTTCCTAGTCTATTTTTTGGGAATTGAGCTGCTGTTGTCAATTTCTGATGATGTCAGTTGGTTTTTAGGTCGGTCAGATAGGTTGAATGCTTGTAGATAGATAGATTGACTCTGTCGAACCTTTCAAAGTTTCAGTACTTGCACCAGCATGACCGGCGGTCTCTCGTTAAATCACCCGTCTAAAGGACTCTAACCCCAAGGCCTAGTACTGACCAGCGAGCAGAGGTCTCCTGGAGATGCAGACTGAAGCGAGCAGAAGCAAGTTGACAAGTCCCAAGTCTCAAGGGTTGTAGAGGTTGTAGGGCCTGGTTGTAGACCGGTTGGACATTCCCCCTGGGCACATTGCCCTCTGTTTGGGACGTTAATCCACCGTGTCGGATCGAGGCCACATTTACAAACAGTGAAAATTTGAGGCTCCCATGCCTCACTGAAGCGGAATTGCCTTTCCAAAAAAAAATATTAGCCGAACTGGTACCGGCAGGGGATCATGAGCCCGAATGTCACGCAGGTATGACCTCGTTCACACCGTGGCCTGCATTTGTCTTTTTATTTGTTTTTTTTTCCTGTTTTTCTTGTTCTTCTTTCCCCGGGTGGTCGTCCTTTCTCGATTTCACATTCACGTTTTCGCAATCCATTCTTGAGCTGTGCGTGTGTCCCCAAGTGAATGTGGTTGTCACAACCTCCTAACTTTTGTCACATGATCTTCTAAAGCCCATCCTTGCGAGGGATGAGGATTTCCAACATGTCCTCGTCGCACGACTCGGCGGCACGAGCTTTCAGCGCAACACGTCTCTTTCAGGAGAGTTCATGACAATAACCCCCTGCTCAGGACAGAAGCTGGTGTTTCACGTGTCCATGAGGTTCTCAACATAACATGACAATGGTTGCCGGAGCAGAGCATATAATGGTGTCATTTTCTTTCTTCTCGTACACCACACATTCAAGGCATTATGTCCCCCAGTCTTTTTGCTTGGCAACGGAGGAAGGGGGAGGCAAGCGGGAACGTGTTTTCACTCACTCCTGCTGTTGCTGCTGCTTGTTTCTCAAATGAGCTGCAAGTGCCTGAAGATATCCTCCAACTGCAGATTCCATAGACTGCCGTGGATCTTGCCGTTCTCGCGAGACTCTTTCCCCCCATGACTGCACAGCGATCCATCGCAAACAAAGCATTGCTTCCGTAATAAGTTCATTGTCCTGTTTTCATCAACTTTTTCGGCTTATCTGTTAAAACTTGAAAGTGTAATGAACCCAATTATGAGAAGCTCACAATGTTTGCTCATATAATGAAATCAATTCAAATCATGCTATTTCCAAAAAAAAAGAAAAAAGAAAAACAGGAGAAGCTCACAATATCATCAGGATGCGTGTCTTCATCACATTGCCAATGTAGACTCAAGTGGAAGCAGCCAGTACAAGGTTAGAAAAAGAAATAGAGGAGGGGAGAGAGCATCGATGTGTGTGGCTCTTCCAATCCCCAAGATCCTCCAGGTCTCTCCCACCAGACTCCTAAGCAACCCACCTAACCCTGTAATGATGCCTCTGATAACATCCACTTCGTCTGTAGAGGTTTGTACTGTCTAGGTGGGTCCATAATCCCCAACCCCCCTTTTGAGGGGATGAGGGGATGATTAATTTTGTTAATTTTTGTATTTCCTTTTCTTTTTTTTCTTTTTTTCCAGAAACACCCATCCCCTGCTATTCTGGGGGGCATCAGTCCGGTTGCTTATCACCGGCAAGCATGTTTTACAAGCAACGAGGGAGAAAAGACAAGAGAAGAGAAAGGAACAGCCACACCCTTGTGGCATGAGCCGCCTAAGCAAGGGGGCCCTGCCACAGGCCGCCCCAGCCCCAGCCCATAGCTCCACCTCAGGGATTACCTTGCAGCTCGGGAGGCTTGCTAGCAGCACCCAGGCACGCAGCAGGGTAATCCCGTGGAGGAAAGGGTACAGAGGGAGGGGTGGTCCCACTAGTCCCTCGGCCGCTTGTCAGGCCTACTAGTCTTCCTCAAACTTTATGAGACTTGTATCCCCCCAAAACTGCCCCCAGTAGGATAATTTTGTATTTCCATCCTACCTTTGTAATAAAGTGAGTTCTGCTTGCATCGTAAGTACGCTGCTTCTTTTCTTCTAATCTGTTTAGTGAATTCTTTCGGTGGGTTCCAGACCAAATCCACATACCAAAACATTGTCCGGGGAAGTGACTTTTGGACCCTAAGGTCACGACCCCTCGCCATGCCTGTGCAGATTTCATACCATCCTAAAGACCTATCAGAGCCTGTGGGACCAACTGTTGACCCCTGAACTTTGCTAGCTCAAAAGCTAAGACCCTTAGACTATGCACCTCTGGTTCTACCCCACCCCTTGACTGTGTAGGGGTCTGTGTAGTATGTACCAAAGGTCTTTAACTGAGACATGACCCTGACCATATTCTGTAGCATTGAGGGCCATTCTGATGGACTCTGGGACCCTATAGACCTATTTCTCACACCTAGCCTTGACTCAGACTTTGGATGCGTTTTTCGGTGCTGGATCTGAACCTGGGTCATTGCAATCTCAGACATCGCACACCCCGAAAACAATGTACATAGTACATACCTTGTATTCAAGTATTCAAATGTCTGTTCTACTTGGAAAAAAGAAAGCGATTTCTGAAAACCCATTTTTCGAAGGTAAGTCCAACAGAACGTACGTACGTGTTTTTTTTTGGTTTAAGACTGCGGTAGGGAATGATGCCCAGCGCCATGGCTGTTAGTAGTTGAGAGAGAAGAAGACGAGAGAGAGAGTGTGTGAGACGAAGACATTCAGAGGTAGAGTGAGGCCTGAGGGTAGATCTCAGAGAGAGTGTGTGAGACGAAGACATTCAGAGAGTGTATGAGACGAAGACGGAGAGAGAGTGTGTGAGACGAAGACACAGAGACAGAG